GGCTTCTGCAACTATAAAAGAATATAAAAATAATTAAAAAAGAATAATAATTAAATAGAGACTCGTAGCAATGCGCTCTACAATAATTTTAACACTGCAATTTGTTTTAGATTGTTAAGATTGATATATAGAAAAAAGCCTGATTAAGACGCTAAATAAATAATTACACATTACTAGACCTAAGGCCCAACAAATAAAAACAAATATTAAAAGAGCAAAATAACTTAGCTCTTATTCAAAAGATAGTTCAAAAGGTGCTTTAAGTTTGGCTTTCGACTATGCTATGAATTTCTTTCAAAATAAAAAGAACCTTTAGAGTTAACATGAGCCAAAGATAAGAAATTTAAATAAAATCAATTTCAAAATAAATTTCAGTTTTTGCATTGCACATTAAATCCATATTTTTGGACTAGCTGAACTTTAAGGTACTAACTTGGCTTTTTAAATTTACATTTTAACCACGGGGAGCCCCATCACAAAAAAATATATTTAAAATAGACGCAAGGCATATTTATATTTATGTTGTTTTTATATTTTTTTTCTACGGTGACATTATCCTATTAACACATTTAATGGAGTCACACACGCGCGCGGCTTTGTCTCATCATAAATCTGAAGGCAGACGCAGCGGGAAATGCGAAAAATGATGCTCCGGGCTGTTTTTCTGTGCCGGGGCGTTAAGCAGCCGCAGGAAAAGCTGGGCATGGTCTTCTGGCTGCCTGATATATATGGCCTCATATTGGATATTTATGCCTGTGCCGCTGCATAGATTTATGCATTGTCTTTAGCACTGTGATTATGGCCGAATTGTTGAAAGTTGTGCAAAAAGTTTTCATAGCTGCCATCAAATTAGTCCGGCGCTTAGGTAATAACCGTGATGGTACGTGTCGAGCTTAGCACACAAATGACAATGGCCAAATATGATTGAAACTTTTACCGTTTCAGTCGCCAGAAATTGGTTTGCCAAAAACCCAAAACCGAAAAACCGAAAACCAAAAGCCGCCGCAAAAACTTGGCCCAAAAAAAAGAAGAAATTTATGCATTTTGAAAACTTTTTGACTACACTCTGGGGGCCATTTTAGGTGCGAGAGATTTTGGCGCCGGCACAAATATATATTTTGCTGCCAATTTAGCAGCGAAATAAGCAGCTCACTTAGCCAATAACAACATTTATAATTTAAAGCCAACATTTGCATGTGTGTATGTATCAAGAAATTTGAGCACTTAGCTTCCCCTTTTTAAATCCAGAGCCTCATTGAAAATGGTTTTAAAAAAGACAGAATATCGCGCGGAGGTATGTCGTTTGTAGAACAGCGGAGATATGTCTCTCGAAATTATGTCGTTAGTCGGTGACGAGCTTGAATGGGATGGCGAGATCGAGTCCGGTATCAGGAAAGCAAATTTTTTTTTTAATGTTATTGGTTGAAGAAGGTTTAGGGTATCCCCTAGTCGGGCACTTCCGACTAGAGCACTCCTTCTTGTTAACTGTTAACCAATTGTCGAGCTCAGGCATGTACGCCTAAATTTTAGCCTCAGACGCTTTGAATGCAGCTGCGGCATTTGAGGTTTCCATAAAGATACCCTGCAAAAGATGGGCAATAAAGGGTATGCAAGAGTTATCTTATGTGTATATATAATGCAGATGCGTAAATCTGTGCTTTGATAGGGCATGTCAGATCATATGCTGTACGTTAATCAAAGGTTCAATTGAGCTTGAGCTGCCATTAAATACAAAATTATTGAATACCAAATCAAAAGATTTCATGTTAACTTTTCTCTGCTATTTTTTTGTTTGATTTAAAATATTATAGGCTAATGTAGCCAGATAGTCTTTGAATTATTAATTAATAATTATATGTAAACAAATGTTTCAGACCTTTATACAGACTCATTCCTATTATTCGAATACTTACTTAAGATACAAGCACAGATAGTCTTTTGTTCGAGTACAGATATGTGTTCTAGTATATTTCTTTTGCTTACAGGGCAGCTTACAGTCAATCAGTCATCTAAAGCCTTTCAGCTCGAATTTTTTCTTCACACTTTAGTTTGGCTGACGCCTCCTGCGACGCGCCTTGGGGCAACTGTCAACGTGCAGCGCCGCAATATTTGTGGCAGAGTTTTGCATTGCACTTTGCCGTGTCCCAGCTAGGCGGGCAAGCCACAAAAAGGATTTTTGATTTCATATTTGCGGAGCCTAAGCTGCATGCAGCTTCTGACTGTCCCAATAAAAATCAAGTTTTGACATAGCTCAGCGTGCTTGCAGCATGCCGCATCCCACATCTGTCGAAGCTCAAATGAAATCACTTCCTAACTCTGCTTGTTTTCTTCTTCTTTTTTTTGGTTCGCATTGCAGATTTTTGCTTTCTAGTTCTTCATATATTTTCCTTAGCTGTGGAGGCAAATGCTAACAAGCATTGTTCGTTTTTTTGGTATGTTTTCTTATTTTTTTGCGTTGGGCAAGTTTTGCAAATGCTTTGAAAAGCAATTAGTGCTGACAAATGCGTGTCCTGGCATTAAGGAGCTGTAACCGTAGCTGTAACTGTAGCTGTGACTGTAGCTGTAATAGTGTGTGTGTAGACAATGTATGTCATGCCTTTTGGCATGTCAAAAGCGATTTGTCATGCAGCAATATGTAAGGGTTAATAGTAGGTTGACAGCTTGATTGATTTGCCCAGCTGAGTGTTCTAGGGAAGGCTAATACGGATCTTAGCCAGGCAGCGATGAATTGTGTCAACTAATTCTAGCACACATATTTCGATTAATCAATCGTATGATTGACAAACTGAAGTGTATGTGTGTGTTTCTAAGAGGATTTTTTGTAATCAAATTGAAAGGAACTTTTATAAGTGGATCTTAAACACATAGCTGCATCTAACACCAATTTATCAAACTCGCACCAAGTTAAACTCTAATTAAGCTACCTCGCTCTATTTTAGTCGTTATCATATAGAACTCTGCGAATATTCTTATACATAATATAAGATCAGAATAAAAATAAAAAATATAAAATGTACATGAAAAAAGAGATGGAATAAAAATTCTGATTTGTGTTTTTTATCTCACACCTTCAGAAAGATTTTTAGAGCAGACAGAATTCTAAGATTGTACACATTTGAATTAAATATTTGTAGCTGAGAAGTCTACTTCATTATCGGCCTAACTATTGAAACTTCAGTCATAATAATTTAAGTTTATTTAAATAATATTCTAAAACTAAAATTCTCGCTCAACAAGGCATTGCCTTATCCTAGATTGCATCACAATCAATTATTTAAAATTGTAGCTCAAGTGAATTGGCAGTATACTTGCCTAACCGACCGGAAAGCCAATATATTTAATTAAATTTGAAAATTTGTGCATCCAACATGGATTCAAGCCATACAGCAGGCGGGCGGGCTGGGCAGGGCATGGCGTGGGAGCTTCTGTTGCAGCACTGACGCATACTTGAGTCTGCTGACTGATTAAATTTACACATCGAGCCACAACTGTTGCACCGAAAACTAATAAAAAAAAAGAGAAAGATCCCTGGCACAGTAGCAGCCAGCTCGAGTAGATTTTATATCCTTGACAGCACTGAACAAAGCTGAACAAGGTGCAGCAGCAGTTGCTGGCAAAGGCTCGTTGGCTCCAAGTTGCCAGTCAATTGATGGCAGCAGATGGGAAACAAGTTGGCAGCGTCTTCATCAATTGCTTGTAAGTGACTGTTGTAAAAATTTTTACATTTTGTGCTCACAAAACCAGGCTGCAACACGCTGCGTATGCGCAATTTTTGTCTATACGTACTCATACGTAAGTAGATTAAGTGCAGCCCGAGTATGGGTTATTTCCAGATGCTGAAGGGCTATGTTTGGGTTTTAAATTCAGTTTCCAAGCAATTTTCAAGCAGCCCATGTTAATGAATGCCGGCTACTGCTGCCAATTCGGGGCTTGGACCTCGTCAAGTGTCAAGTGCACCAATATTGATGTGCAATCTCAAGCGAACTCGAGCCACATGCTCCATTTGCATGCGCTAGCGTCCGAATTGTCCCAGGCAGCCGCACTTGAGTAGCTGCCGCTGCTGCTTGTGTTGCTGCTGCTGCTGCTCCTGTAACTCTCTATGCTCCACACCAATTTCGAATGCATTTGCAAATGCAGCAACAAAACACTGAACGCCATTCAATGCCTTCTTCTATATTCATGCATAAATTCAAATGCTTGTCGGGCACTCAAGTGCAATAGAAAGAAACTCGAGCGCTGCAGGACAAGCCAGAAATGAAAATAAACAGAGAGAGAGAGAGAGAGAGAGAGATAGAGAGAGATAGAAAGAGAGCGAGCAAATCGTGTCTGTTTGGATTCATGGCTGGGCAAAACAAATGGCTGCAACCTAGCATAATGCGAAACTTTATGTTTGCTGCGTGCTGTGTTATAAAAGCATTTTTCCATACCCAATAAACTAAGCGAATCAATGAATCTTTTGAGTGCAAGTGCGAGTGCTTGTCAAGTAAATCAAAGCCAAATATGGAAGCAGCCCGTTCACAGCGCAATCAGCAACAATAGCAAATCCAAATGTCGAATCCGCAATCCAGCCGCGACGGAAGTGTGTCGCAAAACGGAAACGGAAGCAATTTTCATTTGCGTTGAGCTTAAATGGTGGCCGTTGTGGTCTCACACTCTGGGACAAACCAGCGGGCTCTGCCAACAGAAGCAGCATCTCCACATGCTGCACGACATGTTACAAGCATAATTCTATTTGCCACATACTCTCACTCACACACACACACACACACACACACACACTCACATGCACACAATGGCGCATGATGGGCGGCAAGTGCGGCCAAGTGGCGACGCCCCAAGTAACCGCAAAACGATGCAAGTGCCGCATTTTTTTTTAATAAATTGCAACGCTGATACGCATTGTCCCCTTCGTTTAGCTGCTGCTGTTGGGTTTGGTTTTTGGTTTTCATATTATTTTTATTTGATTTTTCTAAACGATTCGCGTTGGGGTTTTGTTTGTGGTAAGCGCGACACGTAGCTGTTAAAATTGTTTTACAATAAATTAAAGGTATCTCATTTTTATTTTCTTCCATTTAGTATTTTCCATAAACTGTCACACTTTATTACTGATTTAGTGCTTAAACTGTTTTGTTGCTGAACATAAATACAATTTTAGTGGCTGTTAAAAAAGTTTAAATACAATGCACAGAATTGCCGCTTTCTTTTTGTTTAAGTTTAGTTAAATTAAAAAAAATCGTTTGGGTTGACTGGTTGGGTTTGAGTTGTGAGCATTTAAATGATTGTTTTTTTTTTTTTTTATATTAATATTATTTAATTTTTATATGACTTATATTTAAATGATTTTAATTTATGTGTGTTTAAAATCTATGGAACTAGCTACGTGCTAATTTTATATACCTTAGGCTTAAGATTATAATTTAATTTTAGCTTTTGTTTTTATTTTTCTTTTAATTTTAACCTTAACAAAACAGCGGCTTCCCAATTTTGAATCGCTTACGCCAAATATACAATATTTATTTTCAGTTGCCTTTCTCTATTAAAACGGAATTCCGTTTAGCTTCTTTTCATTATTTAATTTATATATACAAAATTTAATTTTATCACATGTGAAATGTGTATTTAATTTTTTATTGTTTTTTTTTTTATTATTAGTGTGCACAATGCTGTCCACAATTTTATATACACACAGATGCAGAGTTATATGTTATAAAAATAATTATCAAAACCAAACTACAAATATTTTAATGAAACGCTGGTAATACGCTGCGTATGCGTAATGTTTTCATTAACCGGAAAATGGCAGTATATATGTATGAAAATGCTTGCGATAAAATACGCTTGAAAATTTCAATGAGCCCAAATGAATTGTACACTACCTAAATTCCCATTATCTTAATTGATGTATGCTTATTTTAAATAAATTGTTGCAAGGCTCTGTCAAACTCGGCATGCATTTGTTTTTGCCCGGGGTAGTGAGCGGGAGAGCGCAACACATGCGCGCCAATGATTAATGAACTTAATTACAAACTCAAATCCTAATTACTTTACTTCAATTTGACCCCAAAAAGCAATGCCCAGCGCACTGTCATTAATTATACGACCCGTTTGCCGATCGGCCAAAAGCTGCCAACCATGCCACACGCTGGCCATGGCTGTGGCTATGCAACCGGGCAACTCTCCTGCGGCTTACGTCGGTGTCGTGCTCATCGTTTGCTTGGCAAACTTACCCGCTGATGCTGCGGTTGAGGCCGAGGCTGCTGCTGCTGCTGCTGCCAAGCCCCTGGGTCAGTTAACGCTGACCAGCGGCTCGAGCGTGCTGCTCAAATGCACCAGCTGCTGCTGCACCTCGCGCAGGCTGGCCAGGCTGCCCATCTGCTGTTGCTGCTGCGGCGGCGGTGGTGGCAGCACGACAACCACAGATTCAGCGGGTCCAGACATTGGCATCGGCATCGGCGATGGCGCGCCAGGAGGAATGACCGTTGCGGCAGCCGATGCCGCAGCCCGCGCCGTCGCTGTTCCAGTCGCACAGCTGCTGTTTGGCGAGTGCGATACGCTGTACATCAGACTGCCCATGCTCGGATGCTGATGGATTTGGGCGACGACCGGCGGCGGCGGCGCTGGCGGCAATACAAGCTCATCAATGGTGCAAACGCGATCGTCAATGGGAAAGGTAAAGTTAATTTCCTTGCCGCCAGCATCCGCATTGTGTACGGCGGCTCCCACATGAGACGGCGTGCTGCCATTCGCCGGACTCTGAATGTGACCATTTGTTGTGCCATTTGTTGTTGGCGTTGCTGTTGCTGCCGCCGGCGACGTGGCTAGCGTTAGTGTCGTTGTTGTTGTCGGTGAGCTGCCATTGCCCAGCGTTGTTATTGTGGTTGCTTCCAAATTTTTTTCCAAACACTTGCTATCGCCTGAGGAAGAAAACAAAGCCAGAGATGAGCCAGACACATAGAAACTGGGACAGTGTGAGCTGAAAGCTAACGCATGGTATTTAGATGGGCGGCATTTATAGCTGTTAGACCAAATAGGAGCTTAACTATAAATATAATTTTTATAATCTATCCTAACTTTTAAATAGCACTCAATACATAAAGCCTTGACTTGGAATGCAGTAGCTTCAACTCTATAAAAAAATAAAAATTGTTGTTGCTTGAACTCTATGATGGATAAATAATAATAAATAAGGTTTTCCATAGAACTATCAATTTAATTCCTAAATAAAGTTTTTAATTTTTATAATGTCGTATTATCAACTTTAATTCCAATATAAAGTTTTTATATTTACCAAACAATTTAATGTTTCATTTTTCTGCATTATATTGCATCTGCATCTGCATCTGTATTCTCATATTTGTTTTCCTTTTTATTTTTGCTTAGCTCAAAGTTATGCATACATTTTTACTTTCTTTAACTAGAACTTGAACTGACACAAACAATTTCATGGAAAACTCTGTTCTGAATATGCATCCAGCTAATGCACAAGTAAAATTTGTGATTCTGTGATTTTGAGTGCCGGAGCACAAACAATTCGAGAAGAATAAATTCATAATTTGCCAGCTGCTAAAATCTTTAAAGAAAGAAAATATTTTATATCTATCTTACTACAAGGTTCAACAGGCTTATATAATATTTTTTTTATTTATTTATCAAGTTTAATGGCCTAATTACTTATTATGCATATGCAATGCACAAGTGGCTGTCTGCACACAAGTTATACAATTTTCCAAAATTTTAGTTTAATTTAGCCCCATTCTAGCTATATCTATGCATATTCTTTATGCTATCCGGCATCACTGCAGCTCTTGCAGAGCCGCATGCAACTGTCAATAGTCACAGTCAGTGACGTGTTTTTGGATGCCTCCGGTGTATTTGCAGTGTGCTCAACTCCGGCGGCATTGCTACGCTTGAATTTGTGAGCATGGCAGAGTTTTTAGCCGTGCTTAAACAAAAATCGTTTTTTACGCTTTCCACGCTGTTCGCTTATCGAGGGAATCGAATGCGGTGTTGCAAAAGTTTTCGTTGCGACAGCCTTGGCGACCATTTTTTATTGTTGGCTTAAAAAAAAAAAAAAGAAGAAAAAGAAAAACTGCAACAATTGCGCAAAATTCCAAAGTTTGCTTTGTTTTCCATTGGCGCTGCGTTTCCCTCGAGTGCGTTCTGCTGAATGGCCACGACCACGCTGGCCCCAGGGCCAATTTGTGCTAAGGTAACCAAGTTAGGCAGGTGTGTGCGCAAACATTAACGCCGGCCTCCAAGGTACGTAGGTCAGCTTGAAATTTATTTATTCCTCAATTAGGCAAGGGGCATGGTGGGAGGCGGGGCAAAAGGCTACTCGACATAATGAAGCACGTACTTGTAATTAATTAAGTGCGGCTGCTTCTTTCTTTTTAATTTCGACAAAAATTTTACGTGCTAGCTAGAAGAAACATTTTTTTTAAAAAATACCTTTAAAGAGCACATAAATAGCCTGCTGTCTTAGCAGGTAATACAAACAGACAGTTTTTCATTTCAACGCCTTGTCATTTGGTCTGCCTTTGCTCAAACTTGGCGCATTGCCCAAAACGAATTAAGTATTTCATCAGTTTAAAACCAGCAGCTCAAATTGGAACTGCTTTTGTGTAACTTGGGGTTAGTTTTATCCATATACTTACTGCCATTCAGGTGATCCTCTCTGGTATAGTAGCGTGCGCGATTCTTGGAGAAACAGGCCACAAGTGATAATATTATGACGGCAATTAGCACAAATATGATGCCACCCAAAATAGCAAGGGTATTAAGACCACCTGGTAGAAATAAAAAAAGAGGTGGAAAATTTGTATCATTATTTAAATTAAATTTTTGTAATATGAAAGTTTTAAAGTTAATAGTTAAGGATTTGGTCGGGTTCTATACACAAATATTTTCTTTAGTAACCAAATTGTGATTTGTTTACATTAAGGAGCATCCGCGTTTATAATATCTATTAAATATTAATTGGGCTCAACTCAATTTAAATGTACATTTCTTTAAAGTTTAGTTTCACAATAGGATAAAATAAATACCATATATATTTATTAATACGATTATTCAAACTACTAGCAAAACATGAAAAGTCAAAAATTCGTCAGATCAACAAATATTTTATTATATTTTTCTTTAAAGAGCTGCAAATATATAAACTCGTATCAAGGAAAGATCAATAAAAAGCCACTGATTGACTCGCCAATTTGGCCACTGAGTTGTAATTTAAAACAGTTTCATTTGCTTACCATGTTCAAGAAAGTTATATGAAGTGCTTGCCGCATTCTGTTCCTCGTCGCTGATGTAATCGAGACACGTGTGCAGCCCGCCAATGTCCAAATTAATTATTTCAGCGCCACGTAAACTTTTTGGCAGAAAGCAAATGGGATATGTATCCCATTTCCATTGCAGCTGTATAAATACAGATTGTAAATTGTATACATATATTTATTTCGTATAAGACATCATCAATCAGTTGGGCTTTGAAAACTAATTGAAATTTAAACTGAATGGACAACGCGTCGTATGCGTATTATCCGATTTTAATTCAATTGCATTTGACTTACTTGCCGCACGACATTTATTAATTTCCCCATGTGACATTCATCGCATATCAACGGATTGTTATCCAGTCGCACATTGCGTATACCCTGAATCCGCAGCGCCGTGTCCGCATTGATGCCGTATAATTGATTTCGCGATAAGTCCAAAAACTGCGAATGCAAAGCGCAAAAATATAATGTACTTTCGAATGCTGAAAAACTATTTTGTCATCTGCTCTATGAGATTTGCTTATTAAATTGCAATTAGCTACAAATGCTGCCCAAACATTGGTGGCATTGTGTAATTGTTGGCCCCCAAACAATAAAACAAACAACAAGGACAATGCCAAAGGCTTGACTGAAGTGTGCAAGTGGTACACAATTAAATTCAATTAAAATGAAAAGCTTAATGGCTATCAACTGATTGTTGTTGTTGTTCCATAAATTTGCCATAGTCAACAGGACAACAACAACAGAAATGTAGAGAAGCTTGAGTAGAGCGTTAGCTCAACTAGAAGATACTTGCTGTAGGGATACAAATAATATATTTGATCAATTCACGTATTTATTTATGTTTAATAAATTGAATTTATCGTTCGCAAAATATCGATTATAATTGGTGGACATTTTTATTATTTATTTATTGTTTTAAATTTTTATTGTCTGAGATGAGGTTAAATATTTAAAAATGTATTTCTCGTTAAGTTTATATAGAAATAGTTTTATGTATGTTCCTTTATTGTATTATCGAAGGACACTTTCTGTATATTAGTTAGACAGGGAATATAAATAGTTCGATCTATCAATATAATATAACAATTATTGGATCTCAAGTTAACCAATTTTGCGTGCAACACCGTTTAGCACATTTTTCGTGTAAAGGGTATAACCATGATATCGCAACTATGAAAACAATACAGCGGTGAGGGAGACAGAGAGAGAGAGAGAGAGAGAGAGAGAGAGAGAGAGATGTAGATAGAAAGTGACACGAAGGAAGCACGTACAAGGACACAAACGGACGCAGCACAGAAAAGACTGCAACCAAGTTGGTGTAGGCACAGTTGCGAAATGAAATGAAACTAAGGGGGTTTTCGGGACTTGTTGTCGGAGTTGTGCGATTTGCAGTTGCAGAAACAGAAACAGAAACAGAGACAGCAACGGAAAATGGTGAATGGTGAATGCTAACGAAAACTGCAAACAGGCAGCGATGTCATTTTGTCATTCAGACACTGTTGCTCGTTGAAATATTTTGCAATTGGCCAAAAAGTTATCAACAGACAAATAAATACACAATTGCCAGCACACACAAGGACAACAAAAGCTTTCAAGAAAAATAACAATGGCTTGCACACGGGGGTTGTGGCAGGCAATAACTTCAGCTTGGTGCATTCAATCACTGGGAGACTTACCTCAAGCTCACGGCACGAATCGATAACTTGCAATGCCATGTTATCCAATGAATTACCCGAGATATTCAAATAACGCAATTGTCGGAAAGGCGATAACAAACCCACAGGCAGCTGACCCATATCCGCAATGGCCAAATGCGTTAGCTCCGGTATCAGCTATAAGAGAAAATACAATTTCAACATTAATTGATGGATTGCCACTCACTCAATCACGATGTCTTCAGACTAAGAGAGAGCTTGCGACTCATAGAATATAATCAGCTTTAGTTAGATTAAGTTGAAAGGTTCAGTTTGTGGCAAGCACAAGAATTTTCCTTCTTTTCATGCTGCTGCTCAATTATTTTTAGTTTTCTAAGACGAAATGTTCGAAAGCGCACAGTTGGCTAAGTCGGACCAAAAATGAATTAATTACTTTTGAACTTTTAACTGTCATAATAAATGCTTCGAATATTTGGCAACACGGTTGTTTTGTCTGAATGTTCCAATTTAGAAGAAAAGTCAGCTTTGAATTTATATCTGCTTGTTAAAAACAGATACTATTTCGGCACCAATCAATGATTTTTGTGCAAATGGAAATTATTTTAAAGGTAAATTAATTTTTAAAAATATTTTAAGCGTGATAATGTTTAAGTGGTTGCTTACCTTGCCAGAGAAAAAATCTAAGCATGAGACTATGATATCCAATTAAAATCTCTTTAGAACTCACCGCGAATGTCTCATGCATATCCCTTAAGTCCATGAGAACATTTCCGCTTATGTTAAGCACCCTCAAGTTGCTCAGACTGCGCACGGACTGCGGCTCCAGACGCACCAGCTTGTTGTAGGAGAGATCCAGAAATGTTAGATTGGTCAGCTGCAAGAACGAATCGTTTGGCACTTTGGCCAAGCGATTGTACGATAAATCTAAAAGGCAAAAAAGAAAGAAGCAAAGGAAATGGGCAAATGAGTGAGTTTGTTAGAAGCTAAATGACTATAATTTCCATGGCGCACCCAAGTGATTAAGACTTTTCTGCATGCGAAAGAGTTGGTCCACGGCCACAGACAATTGATTGCCGTCGAGTAAAACTTTTGTGAGACGCTTCACGTCGCGAAATTCATCCTTGTCAAGGAATTTGAACTGCAAAGAGAAAAAAAAAACAACAGGGAAAATAATTGGAAAATGGTTGAACAGTTTCGAAACGGGTTGACGACAAACCTCGTTGCGTCCCAAATCCAATTCGCTTAAAAGCGGCAATAAATTGTACAATTGCGGATTGATTTTTTTCAGTTGACAATTGCGGCATTTGAGTACTTTCAGCTCCTGGAAACCGAGCAGAGAGAGAGAGAGAGAGAACGAGAAAAGTGAGTACAGGAAAGTGCGTACATTTGCGAGTTGTTGTTCGCAGTTGTTGTGTTTACTTACGGGCACATCGCGAAAGACATCCGGCTGTAAATCCTGAAGCGGATTTCCGCTCAAGTCCAGGTACTTGAGTCTAGTCAGCATGAAGAAGTTGCGCTGCACGAGCTCCACAATTGAGTTGTCAGCCAAATTAAGACGTCGCAGATCCTGCCCCAAAGAGTTATGCAATTGCCAAAGTTTATTATGGCACGCACCAAATTAATAATATTTCATCAGACCCCAACGCAAAATTCATGGTTAATAATTCATAAATCAGACCGGGCAGAAACACTGCCAGAGCTCTGCTGCGGACCGGAAACTGCCGAAAAAGATAAGTTTCCAACGCCGCTGCAGAGGAACACAGAGATACTGTTTCAGCTGCCCTGGCTGCGGGCTGAGAGGAAGTCAACAGCAACGGGGAAAACAAAATCGAAAGCAAATTGAAGAAAACGCACCAACTTTTGTGCACTGGCACTTCCGCCAGGCAAAAGGAGCGGCAACTGCAGCAAACTTAAATTCAAGCACGTAGAACTTTCGTTTGCCCCAAAATGTAGGCAACAATATTTGGTGCAGGCTATTAAAAATTCCATGATATTTATTACAAAGTGGCTCAAAGCAAAGTCACAACTATGCAGTCGAGAACTGCGCTAATATTTGATTTAGTATTCCCACTTTGAGGACGCACAGCACGCGGCCCAACAAGCCGAGGAGGTCTCAACGATATTACATTGGAACTGAAAGCATCTTAAGTGGGAAATAAACAAAACTCCTAAGAATTCTTCATTTTTCAGTTTTTTCATTAAACTACTTAGGGTGTCGTTCTTTAAATGACTAATAGAATTTAATATGCCTGACTAAAATGCGTGCTGATGTGCATATTTCGTATTGCTGTAATTCTAAAGAATTTATAGATGGTACATTTTTTGGTTTACGAATTGCTGAAAAGTTTAATTTAATCGCGAGTTTCGTCTAGGGAAGCTATGACAGCTGGCAAAGTCATGTCTGCGGTAAATATATAAGCCATGATATATAACCATGCAACAGCTAAAGCCCAGTGGATCAAAAAGAAAATACACAGGTTATATATATTTTTTGAGACTGCAGCGCTCGCTCTCCTGTTCCAATGAACTTTCACTTTAAATATTCAGGCGAAAAAAAGGTATTGTGGTATATATGTTCTTTTACTGCGCTGATAATAATAAATAAAAAACGATACCATCCCCATATTTGGTACTACTCACCATCAGATGACGAAACGTTGAGCTGGCCATTCGTAAAATTTTATTTTTTGATAAATCCAATTCATGCAGATTATCCTGACCGCGAAAGTTATTCTCCGTAATGTTTGTTATGTTATTCTTCGATAGATCTGCTCCCGTCCACAGCCGTTGGCGCATATATTTGTATATTATTGATTGTATTTCATCAGCAGTTGTTGAACGCATAAAAGTGTGCAACAGTTTTTTGTGGGCGAGAAAAAACGGAAAATGGCATTATTATACGATGTATGTATGCAGCTTGCACAACTGTTGGGCGAACTGCAAATTTTAATAACCACAAAGGACTTAAGTTGCTTATCATTGTGTAAATATTTACGTTGTAGCAATCGAAAAAATAAAAAAAGTAGAGTTCAATGCACAAAAAAGTGAATAAAACTATAATAAACAAAAAAAAAAAACACAGAACAACCAAAAACAAAAGGAAATATCGAAAATAAAAGAAACTTTTAAGCAAACTGCAGGAAAAGCAGCGCAGACAAAAGTATTTCAACTTGTATACATTGCCCCAATGGAAGGAAAAAGTTGCCACAGATAAAGCACAGAGCACAAAACACATTACACATACGCCCCTTTGTCTAGGCAACATGAGTAGCATTTTTAGCCAAATGCTAGGAGAGAGAATTTTGCTCTAGTTGCTGCCATTGTGTCGGCAACAGGAGTCAAAGCAGTAGCAGGAAGCTATTGCAGAGTTGGCTGCAGCTTGCCACGCCCACTTAAACATTTTAAACATTTGCCAAAATTAATTTAAATAGAAACGGCGGGCGGACGAAGAAAAAAGAGAATGCCATTTGTTGCCCGCCTAGAGGCAACATTTTTAACTGCAGCAACAACTTTTTACTCTGCATGTTCAAGTCAATCTCTGTGTGTGTGTGTGTGTGTGTGTGTGTGTGTGTGTGTTGTATGTCGACTTTTGGCTTTTGGCAAGCAGCTGGGGTAAAAAACAAAGATTCGGGCATGTAAATAATTGGACGGCCCCGGCACCGTGTTTGCCATACCCATTGCCCCGTTCCGCAAACAGACAGTGCCACACATAAAACACAAATAAACAAGTTGGAAAGCGCTGAGCGATATCGACGCATTGCTGGTTGACTTTTACTTTTGATTTTTGGCCCAATCTTATTTTATTTCTGGGTTGCCTTTCGCTGTTTGGCGCATCAATTTCAATTTTATTGACAAACAAGAAGTAAGAAGTTCCCTACAGCGAAGGCTTAAATACTCTTCGACACAAATTCGATATTATTTACAGTTGATGACAGCCAAAACAGTGTTGGTAAAATCCGTTAAGATTTTGTGACTGTTGAAAATATTTTTTTTATGAAGTGTTGGTAGACATGCTTACATCTTATTAATAGCGAACAGTGTGCGACAACTTTAGGAGCAGGCTTTAAAGTCTAGGCCGCGATAAGTACAAAGCGTTAGACAACACTTCATAAGAGTAAATCTGGGTTATTTTAAACCCTTATGGTTTCAGTGATATTTAATATTTGAAAAATAAATCGGAGGAGATTTACTACGGAAATGCCAGCCACGTTTTAAAAGTGTTGGCTGCCAACATTACACAACACTTTCTAACAAGATGAGACTCTGAACTGCAACATGATGTATGAAAAAATTTTTACAACACTGACAAGCTTTTGCTTAGTCACGACAGGTGGCGCCTCAAAATGTCGCAGAGTGCCTAGTCATAATATTACTCAAGCGCATTTGGACTTGATTAACACTTCTAACTGTCGCAAGACATGCGAGAAAGTAAGAATACCCTCTCGATGGGATAACTTGGTGCTGTCGACCGCATCGACGGCGCTCATTTAACATTTTGCGACGCGCACTTTTATTTGCGTTGGCTTTTACGAGGCTGCAGGACAACCGCAACGGTTGCCTGCGTCCTGCGCTCTGCGTCCTGTACGCCCGTTTGATTGTATTATTTGCATATCGCTGCGCGCTGTTTTAACTATGCGCAGCTGCTTAAATTGAAATCGCTGCTCGGGCTTTTACGCGCATGTAAAACAAATGGCGATTTTTAGTAGCATGCTATAAAGAATTGATTACTCACCTAATATGCGCAGATATTTAAGGCCCCAAAAGGACTCGGCCCCGATCGCCGGCAGATTCGAATCGGTGATGCGTAGCACTTGCAGCTGCATAAACTGACGCAATGCTGGACCAATCGTTATGGTGTTTCGTGGTCCACGTATAATAATTACCTTGACATCAATGTCCAGCTGATTGGCGGATAAAGAGCTTAGCCCGCCTGCAAGCAAATGTAAATTTAAATGAAGGTCAACTAGGCGTAACTTAAACTAAATTTTGGCCGCTGCTCTATTCACGGTGATAAACATGAAATTTATGCAGCATGGCAACAATAACTAAGGTTAACAATGCCAACAAGATCATTAACTGCAGAGCGCAACCTTCCCTTTTGCATGCAAACAATGTTCGCAGTTTAGTGTGTTACAGCCAAAATGTCGGGCAGTTTCCATGCGAATGTACGAAAACAACTACACGCCATTTCCAGTTTCCAGTTACCAGCTTTTCGTTATCCTTAACAACTGGGGTCTCACCGCCCCAACCCGCTCTTCATTTGTATGGCATACTATTGTGTAATCGCAGTCGTTGCCGACTTTTATTATATTCTCGCACTGCATTATATTTGTACGTATCTATGTGTGTTTGTGTGTGTGTGTGTCTGTGGTTGTTGTTGCATTATTATGTGCTCATTGTATTGTTGGGGCCAGCATTTGTTATATGACCCGAGCTCGCTGCGGGAATTTTCATAAAAAATGCATAGCATTAACACTGATTGTAACACATTTTAACGCGTTTGCAATTTTGTTGGCATTTACGAGCACTGTTGCAGTCTCGTAAGCGCAACAAAGAAGGGGTCAGGGGTGACGACCTGAAAGTCCAACTCGAAAATGGTTCTGCTCATTAACAGCATGAGTTAAATTGTTCTTTAATATTATTATTAACATATTCTATTAAATGTTAATGGGAAATAAGATTAGCAACTGTTTTATAGAAGACTGCAAGAATACTTTCCATTTTTCTCTTTTTTTACAAAATTTTATAAAAGAGAAAGCATTTTAGAATTTATAAAAAAAATTAACTTTATTCAACTGCATTTTATTTTTACTAGCCAACTATTAGCCAATAATACTTATGGTAAAAAAAACATTCTTGAAAAACCTTTAGTTAATATGAAATAATAGAAATAACTTCAGCATAGTAAATAATCAACGTAATACAGTTTAAATAAATACCCTAAATAAATATCTCCCATTCAGGATAAATAATATTTAAAATTGAAACTCATTTCGTTGTCTTACTGTCAATGGCAGCAGCAGCTCGAATGCTTTGCCGTGCCGTAGTTATTGTGCCAAAGATTTGGAAAATGAAATTAAAACGACAATGGCATCACATTCAAAGCATCACATTCAAGGACTCAAGGACTTACAATGTGTGCGCTAACCAAACAAGCGTTAAATTGAAATTATAGATTTCTCTGGCTGCACGAAGATGGCAGAGCACTCGCAACACGACGGCAAATGACAGTTGAACAAATTGAAATTGCCAGAAAATTTAAAGGGGGGAAAACCAGACTGGCCAAGCTTTAAAAATGAGTACTCGTTAATACTCGTATGCGCAACGAAAACCACTCGAAGTTCTAATTCCGTAAGTGTGCTCGGCATTTACAAATCGGAGTATTTGTAACTGACCAACTGGCAGCTGGCAAATCCTTGAATACTACGTATAGCTCTGTTATTATGATGTTATCCTAACGATGCTGCAGAAACACCCACAATGACCGCAACTATGGATTACATGGTGCATGTTCGTATATTGCATAATTTGCGTATATTTTGCTTTGCTATTTTTTTTTTTATTTTTCATTTATTCGAGCACCTTTTGCGTATATTTTGCTTTGCTCTATCTTTTTTTTATTTTTTTGTTTTTCATTCATTCCAGCACCTTTTGAGCATATTGGACCACTTACCTTTTGTGCAGATGGCCTGATAACGATCCGAATCGTCAATGCTACAGCTGCATTCTACGGGGCACTTCCTGCTCGTATTGCTGAACATGGCCGGCATTATGCACAGGCTGAACAGCAGCCACTTCACCAGCATCTGCAATAGATATACAAAAAAAAAAAAACTTGTTTACAGATTTTCATTTCTTTTCCATTCGGTTTTGTTGCTGTGTGAGTGGCAATTAGTGGGGCTTTTAATTACAGCTAAACACTTGTCCACAGTCGAAACTAATTCAACTTTTAGAACACCCCCACTGTTTGCTCTTGTTATACACTTACTGTGGGTATTCGCAACTTTCTAATGGAATTTGTCTTTGTTGAGCACCAAAATTATATATATTGCTAAAAAACATAATTTAATCTGATTCCATGTTAAATAGTTTATTCATTTAAATGTCGTTTACACTCTCTGTTAAGAATTGTTAAAATTAGAATTTTTTTATAGCATTACAAAGATTTAAGATATCTAAAAAATATGATATATAAATATATATCTACAGAAATATAGACCTCGAAAAATTAGTTAGTTAAAAGTTAATTGTAATGTAATGTAACAGACATTATGAGTGATAAATAAATGTATAATAAATTAAGAAATTTTCTTATATATATAGATAATATTTTATTAATTTTGTATAAAATACGTAATATCGTATTGCTTTTAAATTATTATATTTTACTATTATACAAATTTTCTGCAACTGTATAAAATTGTCCGCTAGCCCAAAAAGATTGCTGTTCTTCCTTGTTTTATATTTCTGCTGCTGTTGCTAATCTATTTATAAAACCACACGCTCATACACTCGCACACACACAAACACACACACACTCTGACACACATACTCACAAACTTTCAATTTGGAATCAACGTGGTGTCATATGTTGACATAGTTGCACACACTTTTTGTTGCAGTTGTTACTGGTAAAGACCAGTTGTTGTAGCTGTTTGTTGTTCTACTTTACACAAATGTATACACATGTTAGTGTTTGGATAGTTGTGTGTGTGTGCGTGTGTTGCGTATACGCCATGTTTGACCTCAGTGATTTGTGGTCGCCATCTCTGGACACTAGTGCGCTCGGCGATAAACTGCGGTGGTCTCGTGGCGCTTGCCGCAGCACTGCGCGCTCTGCATAAATTAGCCGCAGCACACAATGCGGTTAAAGAAACGAACTCAAAAATAAGCCCGAAATTATAATGCGCTCCTCGCTCCACCCCTCGCTCCACCCCTCGCTCCCCCCCTCGCTCTCCCTCTCTCTCTGTCTCGCGCGGTGTTTTGGGACACACTCAATTTGCCTGAAATCCAAATATGCGTAAGCGTTTCGCCTGTAACTGCAACATGAAACTTGCATATGTAATTTTCAAAGGAATTTTCCTTTTTGATTTTTCTCTATTTTACTTGTTGGTGTGTGTGTGTGTGTGCCCCTTGGCTTTGTGCAGGCATTGCCGGAAAATGTGAAAGCCGCAGGATTTATGTGCAGCATATTTTTCATTTTACTGAGCCAGCAAGCGGCTGGCAGGCAGCAAACTGTCAAGTTTCCGGCTCATCGTCGGCACCTTATGCATTGTGCGCGTTGGATTTGTTGTCAGGATATTGCTGCTGGGTGCTGGGTTGAGTAATATTTCTGCAAAGTTGTTGCGGTAAAAGTGAAAAATTGCGACAGCAGCCGACGACGACGACGATGCCGACGTCGACGCCGACGCCGATGCTGGCTTGCGGCAACAATGGCAGCGGGACAGCTTTCTTGAGTTACGTCTGTTGCGCCCAAAAAACTTCTTTCCATATTCTCGATTTCCAAGTGCTTTTTTCGGCACACTCAATTTAACTTGTGGCATGATTCAGAATATAACTCCAAAAGTGCATTTAAAAGTAAGGCAAGTTTGGTAAAGTATGCTGTTGGGATTTGTTATTCACACTGGAATTGGATTTTTAATCTGTGCAAGTGCTCGATTTCGACATATGTATATTATATGATTACATTAGCAGAAAAGGCATAATTTTATTTTAATAATTAAATAATTAAGAGGAAGAGAGAAATACAATTCTTAATGCACAACGCAAAACAACAAAAAACGTTACTTGACAAAATTAGAATCACCTAGAAAGGCAAGGCTTAAGTGTGCGCGTTTGATGTACCGTAATCAAAATAAAAAACTTTGTATTTTTTCCAATTGATACATTTTGCCAGAATCGTTTTGAACAAGTGTTCAGATGAAGCAAATATATGTGTTCAAATTCTGTTGTACAAGCGTTAAAGCAAAGTTCTTCTAATACGATTTTATGTAAATAGAACTATCAAACAACTATTTCACTGTAACTTAACAACAAACTTCAGATAAATAAATTCGTTTAGCAAAAATTAATCAGCTTAAAATGAAAACTTTATACAGTCGAGGACCGCATTCGAGCGGCTAACCAGAAGTCAGCATCTGTCAAACTCGTTAAAGGAACTGCAGATTTGTGAGCAGGCCGCACGCCTCCGAATATACACACAAACAGATACACACACACACACAGAGAGATGCACACAAGCAGGCAGACGAACACATTTAGTTAAATGGAAGCTAACCGCGCTGCCAGCTGACGTTCTACACGCTCCATTTGGACTTTGGCAAACTTTGTTTGCGTTCTGGGCCGCCGCTTGGCATTGCCGGTCGAGCACATGGCGCACGCGAATTGGCCAGGCAGGCAGACAGGCAGGGATAGAGAAAAGTAGCGGCGCAGGAGCGTGGAGAGAGTGAAGAGCTTCGGATGGCGCACGGGGCACTTGGCTAAAGTAGTTGTTGATATCAGCTTTCAGCGTGCATATTTCTTGGTTATTTTGCCCATTCGCTTTTCGTGCTATTTAAACACTGCGAAATCGTTGGGGCCATTTGCCATTTGCCTATGCGAAGGCAAACAGAATGCCGGAAGCAGTCAGCTAACCAAGTGATATAAGAACCAGGAGGTGCGGCATGCGGCTTAGGCTTCGCAGAACTAAATTACTCATACGCCGCTTGGGACAGTTACAGTTTCAAGTAGCAGGGCAGTAGAGGGCCGGCGGATGCGGCCATTTAATACGTGCGCTACTTCTGTAATTGAATATGATAAATCAAACCGAAAAGTTACTCCATGTCGAGTGTGGTCGGAAGTGGTCGAGCTGTGATATGCCCCGTTTGTTGGCCTTGTTTTTGAACTCGCCTTTTTGCTGGGCTTCTCTCTCCGAGTGCTGGCCTATCGAGTTACGCTGTGTGCAAATGTATTCATTTACTTTTTGATTTGAAGAGCTCAATTGTATTAAATTTGATGCTTAAATTATGTTTTGTTTTAGCACACAATTCAAAATGAAATAAATCTCAATATTTGTGCGTTGGCCAAAATCAAATTACATTAAATTCCAGCTGAGGGCTAAGCCACGTTCACAAAAATAAAAACAAAAACCGAAAATTAAGCAAAAGCAGCTGGCATAATATTATGAGTTATGTCTGAACGTGGGCGTGGCTCGGTTTGGTAACCTCGTTTAGGGGGCGGCCAGTTCCGCTGACCGTCGAGCCAACATTAAAATTCATGAACTCATTTATTGCCAATTACCACAAGGCCTGCGGCACGTTTTATATAGAGAGCAGAAGCTGGCTAAAACTCCACACACACACACCCACAAACACTTCCACCTTGACCCCTCCGCATTTGCAATGCTCTGTCCAATTCTCTGATTTGGCAGCAAATGTTGCGGCCGAATCCTGTTTTTTTTTTTTTTTGCTTCGGCCTTTTTGTTGCCTTTTATTCGATTTTGCGCTTTTCCCAAACGTCTTTTTTTTCGCACACACAAATTGATAAATTAGATTTACGCTCGAGAAATTATATTACAATATAATATATTTTGGGCCTGTAGATTTGTGTTTTGTTATTGTATTTTGCAGCCCAGCTCTTTTTCTTTAATAGCCAAGTGATTTTAAAGCGAAGCATTTTGTAAATTTGGCCTGCACTTTTATTTATGGCTTCACTGCGTGTTCTGGCTGCATGAGTAGTTGGCTCAGCTTAAAAAAAAATTGTTCAATTATGCGCAGACATTAAATGGGTTGCAATTTATTAACAAAAAATGTATGTTGATTGGGCAGGAATTTGTGTAAATTCGAAAAATTTAAGTTAAGCTGGCAAAATTGATAAATTTAAGTTGAAATTGCAACACTGTTGAAAATATTTAGTAACGAATTTAAAAGAAAAAAATCATAAACAAATTAATTTTGTTGTAAATAAATATGATAAAATGAATAATGAAATAAATGTTGTTAAATAATATTTTAAAAAAGATTAAATATAAAAGAACGGGTTGTCAAAAATAAACTTGGCGCTAAATGCATGACACATATATGACATAATATTCTGATCTAAGCAAAACCTTCTTTTTATTTATTTATTTTTTATATTCATATAAACCTTTGCTCCCAAACACAAGAAAGTTTGGGGGTTCATTTCGAATATGATCAAAGTCGAAAAATCTTTTCCATAAAAGGAATCTATTATTGACATGATATGTATATTAGTATAAATAAGTATTTATGTTGGAATAGAAGTGGTAATAGCTGAAATTGGCTAAGATAGATTGAAAAACAAATATATAATCAATGCAAAAAAAAGTTTTTCACCCACAGCTTCCATTGTAGCTTTATAATATTGTAATATGATTCGGACAATTTTAATATATTTCTTGCTTGAACCAAAAATCTATGCCAAGCTAAAATATATTTACAAGCTAATCTTTCAATCTATCTTCCTTTTTCGGACTTAACTTAAAATCAACTCAAAATATCCACTCACGAGCTACTTAGATACTGTCCGTATAGTATATCTTGGACATATTTCAATTGGCTTGCAGCACGCACTTGACGCATGGCCACCACAGTTGCAGCTTGTTGCAAGCATCTCAGCAGCTTTGCGGCATTTGCAATTCAATTAAACTAAAGCAAAAGACCGAAGGCAGCAAAATCAACAGCAGCAGCAAGAGATGAAGTAGTGAATGTCGATTATGCTTTTGCTGCATTTATTGCCAGATTTACAGAGAATGCGGAGTGCAGGCAGGCAGCGGGGCGTGGCTATTGTGAGTGGAAGCACTGGCGTG